TAGTTACCATAACATTATGATCAAGGAGGCACTTGATATGAAAGCAGGGGGGAAAAAGTGTTTCGCTCTAAGAAAATTATTCTTATATAGATTTGGATAACCAAAAGATGGATTCTTCATAAAAGCTCTAAATCAACATGTATGTAATTCACAATAAGTCATAAATTACTTTTTCTGAATTAGAAAGAAATGGTTGAGTAATTAGTGTGCACCTTCTCTATATTAAATTAAAAATGTTGATGCAACAGACACACAAGTTGGGAAATGTACAGTTTAATTTCTTCCACACAACTCAAGCACATTACACATATACATTTTAAGGCAGAAAACACTGCTCTACAGCCAAAATGCTTCTGAAATAAATGTAGTCAAACTTTACTAATTCTGGGTCACTGAGAACGAAAATGATGCTTAAAATTGTTGATTGGCTCTAGTTTTCAAGATATGCTATTGGGTCAGTATATACGACCCTTGACTTGGGAATGGCGGAGGATAAGTGAGTTATAAAGGGAAGGGATCTCAATTTAAACCAAAAATGACTAAAATACATCTTTGACTGGATCTATGAATAAATCTATGACTGGGTTTGGACAGTACTTGCTTTTTAGGCAAAACAATGAATGATGCAATCTGAAGCTGGTATTGCGTCATACATGATATGAATTGCATCATGTTATTCCTAGAAGTCATGGATGATGCAATCATAACGAAGCTTACATCACTCTGCTGAACAAATTGCCCTATATCAGCTCTAGAAATCATACAGTGTCGTGCTCTCTTCTTTGTCAGTGTTTGATTTTGCAAAGGGACACATTTCTGTTTAGCCAAAGTGAGCAGAGATGCCTCGTACTTGTGTGAACGGTGCAGATAACTTCTGCTATGTTTGTGGTGAAGTGACTTTTGCATCACAAAAGCGCAGTATAACCACTATGGTTAAGAAAGCCTATCACCTTTATTTTGGCTGCAAAATTGGAGATCAGGACAAGAGGTGGGCCCCACACATACACTGCAACACTTGTGCAACAAATCTTCGCCAGTGGTTGAACAGGAAAAGGAAATCTATGCCTTTTGCAGTGCCAATGATTTGGAGAGAGCCAACAGATCATACCAGCAATTGTTACTTCTGCATGGTGCCTCCAGTTGGGAAAGGTGTGTCAAAGAAGAAAAAGTGGACTGTGCATTATTCAAACATTCCATCAGCTATATGCCCAGTACCCCACGGAGAAGGACTGCCAGTTCCTGATGCACCAGAATCATTCTCACTTGAGTCAGATGAGGAAGAGGAAGAGGATGAAACTTCTGGTCCCGAACCATCAATGTCACAGGACCCACATTTTCTCCCATCCTCCTCCTCTGAACCACACCTCATAACACAAGGTGAACTGAATGACCTTGTCAGGGATTTGGAACTACCCAAGAGTAAGGCAGAGTTGTTGGGCTCCAGACTACAGCAGTGGAATCTCCTGGCAGGTGATGTTAGGGTTTCCATGTTCCGTGACCGTCAAAAGGATCTTGTCCCATTCTTCTTCATGGAAGGTGATCTTGTAGCAACAACATCGATGGTGTGATGGCAGCCGTCAACATCGTTCACGATCCAGATGAGTGGAGACTGTTCATTGATTCATCGAAGACGAGTCTTAAAGCTGTTTTACTGCATAATGGCGATGTTTTGCCATCAATTCCAGTTGGTCATGCAGTCCATATGAAGGAAACCTATGACAACATGAAACAACTTTTGAGGTGCATAAACTATGACCAACATCAGTGGCAGCTTTGTGGCGATTTGAAGGTTGTTGCTCTCTTGCTTGGTCTGCAGACTGGGTACACAAAGTACTGCTGTTTTCTCTGCGAATGGGATAGTCGTGCAAGAGATTCCCACTACATCAAGAAAGATTGGCCACTCCGACAGTCATTGGAGCCTGGGAGGAAAAGTGTTCAGCATCCACCACTTGTTGAATCAAGGAAGATTTTGTTACCACCCTTACACATCAAGCTGGGTCTGATGAAGAACTTTGTCAAGGCCATTGACAAAACACAAGCAGCTTTCAAGAACCTCCGTGGAAAATTTCCAAGGTTAAGTGAAGCTAAGATAAAGGAAGGTGTCTTTGTTGGTCCTCAGATTCGTGAACTTCTTCGAGATGATGCATTTGACCATGCACTGCGTGGCAAGGAAAAGACAGCATGGAAAGCCTTCCAGTTAGTGGCAATAAATTTTCTCGGAAACAATAAGGCAGACAACTACAGGTTGTTGGTGGAAAACCTCCTCAAGGCATACAAAAGCCTTGGTTGCAACATGTCACTAAAGATACATTTTTTGCACTCTCATCTAGATTTTTTCCACCGAACTGCGGAGCAATGAGCGACGAGCACGGCGAGCGATTTCACCAGGACATTGCAACAATGGAGAAACGCTATCAGGGCAAATGGAGCCCATCAATGCTTGCAGACTATTGCTGGACAGTGACAAGAGCTGCTCCATTTAATGAATACAAGAGACAAGCCAAGAAGCGCCGAGTAGACACTGAATATGACTAAACTATGTACAGAATAGTTTTTTGCCTTTTGTTTCATAATAAATTTTATTTATAACACCCTTTGGCTGATTTTTAAAGTGTTACATAAACAGGACAGGTGAAATATTATCATGTAAAGCAACCATAAACACATGAAAAGACCTAGGTTTACAATTTATGATTAAAACTCTACTATCTACACAATATACATAGACATAAAATGTAAAAACTTAAATATCTTAGAAACAGTAGCCAATCAGTTGTTTTAATTGTCATATTTGAATTCAGCACATCAAAATACATAATAAATAGCACATTTTATCTCTGAAGCAGACGACTTCTCAAAAATTGTAGATCAGTGAAACCTATCACCATTTAAAATGCAATTGGACCAGGTTACAGTTGGTCTGTGAATCATCCTGAGATTTGTGCTTGTAATATTTCAACTAAATGTTGAACTAATGTTTTGCATTTCGCATGGGAGGAAGAATAACTGTTAAGGTTCAGAATTGAAGAAGACCTGTGTTCTACTTCATTACAGGTACAGATTTCCTGTGAGATTTTGGTAAGGCATTTAAGGGCACATCCTGATCACACTGAAATCAAAGGGATTTTACACTTAGCCTTTGTCTACACTAGCAGTTTCATCAGCAAAACTTTTGTTGGTCAGGGTGTGGAGGAAAAAAAAACAAACTGACCAACATGAGTTTCACCGACAAAAGCGCTAGTGTGGACAGCACTATGTCAGTGGGAGAATAACTCTCACCGACATAGCTACCGCTGCTCGTTGGGGGTGGTTTAATTATGCCGGTGGGAGAGCTCTCTCCCACAGTCATAGAGCAACTATACAGGAAACCTTACAGAGGCACACCTGCAGCAGTACAGCTGTGCCACTGTAAGGTCTGTAGTGTAAACGTGGCCTCTGGGTTTGATTCTGCAAGATGCTAAGTACATCCTGAGCTGGTGATTACCTTCTACTCCCAGGGAAGCGATGGAGGTTTCTCAGCACCACACAGATGGCACTCAAAACTTGCAAGATCAGGTATTTAATCTCTCTGACTCAGTTTATTTGTAAGAAAACAGGGATAACATCCCATACTGTACTTCACAGAATATTGTGAAGTTAAATTCATTACAGTTGTAAATAGTTTTGAGATAGCACATTTTACCTAACTGCAATGTACAGTACATTTTATACTTTTAAATAGAAAGCATTAAACTTTAAAGCTACATAAAAATGCATTTATGTTAAGGATTTGTGTCTCAAATTCCCCCCATCCACCAGACTCAAGAGCCCAGATTTATACTTCTGACACAGCCCTGAAAGGCGAGTTGATGCATGCGACAGTCAAGTGTGAAGGCAAAAGAGAAAATGGTCAAAATAGGTGACTAGAATTTAGCAGACATGGAAGGGGCCTGCTGTCTCCTCTTCCCCAAGATGTCAAATTGAGCTTCTCACTTTGGGGAGAAATTGAGCTTTTCAATTTGGGGGAGGGATAGCTCAGTGGTTTGAGCATTGGCCTGCTAAACCCAGGATTGTGAGTTCAATCCTCAAGGGGGCCACTTAGGGATCTGGGGCAAAATCAGTACTTGGTCCTACTATTGAAGGCAGGGGGCTGGACTCGATGACATTTCAAGGTCCCTTCCAGTTCTAGGAGATAGGATATCGCCATTAATTTTTTCTTCTACAGCACAGGAAAGCCCAACGTGAGCCAAACGCACGCCCTGTGGTTAAGCCACAGGCAGTGATTGTGCACCAGGCCTTGTAGCCTGAGCACAGGGCACCTGTGAGCCAAACACCCGCCTGCTCAGCCGCGCTCCCAGCGGGTGCCGGTGTAGTGTCAGGGAGGGGCAGGCGGGCCCCGCTTTCAGGGGCCGCCCGAACTAAGCCGCGGCCTCGGGCTGGTTTCCGCAGGGCCGGAATAAGACGCAGCCGCTTCTGCTGCGTCCCCCTGGTTTCTTCCCTCCCCGGGGGCCGGGGCGGTTCTCCTGCGCCGCCCCTCGTCTTCGCAGCCACCGGCGGCTCAGCGGCAGGGCCCTGGCTCCCCCCAAACAAGGACAGGCCCCGCCCCGCCCCGCCGTCCAACTCCGTAGCCAAGCGCCCTGACATGGCCCCAGCGCAGCCAGGACAAGCTGACCTCGCCCCAGCACCCGGCATGCAGCGCTTCGGCGTCACTCGCTGGGGTTTCAGTCCCCTCGGGCCGCGCTGCATGCTGGTAACTGTAGTCCGCCGGCTGGTAGACGCCTGTTCGACTCCGCCCCTGCTGTGACGTAGAGAACAGAGGGAGAGAGTCCCGCTGCCGCTAATTTCACTGTTGCTATGACTACCGGGGAACGGGCAGAGCCATGTTGTATAACGATGTGATTATAGAGGTCTACAAATGGCGTCTGGGAAGGGGGAGGGGTGACCCGGATGTAAATGGCGCGCGTCACAGGGCGGGAGGACACAAGACAGGAGTCCCCTGGCAGGGGCACGTGGCTGGTCACGTGATCGGGCTGGGACGCGGCGCGATGGGGACCGCTCTGGACATCAAGATCAAACGGGCCAACAAGGTCTATCTCTGCGGGGTGAGTGCGGGGCGGGGCCCGGCGCGCGGCAGCTGCCGTTGCCCGCGGTGGCTCCTGACGGGGGCTGCGGAGGCGGGGCCCGTTGTCAGTCTCGGTAACCGAGGGGGTAGGTGACCCGGACCGAGAGGGTCCCGGGGCCGCAGCCAGCCCTCCGCGCGTCTCTGGGGCATCCAGCCCCTGCTAGAGCCCGGGGTGAAGCGCGGGCCGGGGCCGGAATCAAAACTCCTCACCTGGCCCAGCTGGTTCGGGGCCACCAGGGTCCGTCCGTCCCCCCCGGCTGGATTGAAGCCCGCGCTGAGCCTGCCCAGCTCCTCTCTCCCTGACAGCCCGCGGGGCCGGGTTCCCGGCGCTGCCTGGCCGCGGGTCTGGGGCGCCTCGGCTGGCGCCGCCTGCCCGCCCCTCGCCGGTAGAGGGGACTGACTGGTACCTTTCTCTGTATCTCCTGTGGCTGTTCCGTGCGTCTTACGAGCTGTTGGGCAAGTTCGGGATGACTGAGCACCTGCCTTCTGAGGGGGGTTTTCCCCAGGGGAAATGGAATGGTTTTGCTCTCAAATTCCATTTCAGAGTGAACGGTTTGTTCGAAGTAGTGAGATTCCCTCTAGCTTATAAAGAACAAATCAAGTATAAGTAAGTGTGTGTGTGTGTATGTGTGTGTGTATATATATATATATATATATACTTGATTTGTTCTTTATAAGCTAGAGGGCAGTTCACTCTGAAATGGAATTTGTTAGCCAAATAAAGCAGCTGAATAAGGATGGACACAAGCATTACAGCTTTGAATTAGTGAATAAAACCATTTAATGAGAGAGGAAAAAGCATTACTGGAGCAATCAGTGGATGAGAAATAGAAAATAATAATGATTACAGTGGTCTTGTTTGCACCCTATACCTAAAGGCTTATGTACACTTTCATTACACACCACATTGTTCAGGGGATTTATAACTCAGCTTTAAGAGCATTCCCTGGACTGAAGTCTGATAAAATCATCATAAAGGCCAAATATGTTGTAACTTCTTTTTCACTATATATATATATATAGAGAGAGAGAGAGAGAGAGAGTGAATAAGAGTCTGGCTGTGTTTGTATGTTGCCACTTTAAAGAGATTGTTGAATACATTTCCTTTAAAGTTACCTTTAGTACACTGACTAGACAGGAGAGCTGAATGATCTGAGAACACAGTTGAAAGAACTATTTAGTTTGCTGAGTGCTGTACTAGAAATGCTGTCTGAATCTTTGATCAGGAATCGCTAGGAATAGTCAATAAGTTAAAAATAAATCTGTTTTAATTAATCATGGGAGTTACTTGCACAGTGTAGGTTTTCTATTCTTTTTTAGAAAGTCACTTGTCACCACACGTTACACTGACATCAGCCAGTGGTAATAATGTCTTTTATTTATAGCACCTTTCATCCCAAAGAATCCCAAAAATGCTTTCACAAACAGTACTTGTATAGGAATCCCTTCACCTACCAATGCCCATGTTGCACCCAAGTGGTGCTGTCTAGCTATATAACTGCAGGTGGCAATATTACACAATAGTTAAGGTGGGGGAAACAAATTACCAAATCCAATTGAAACTGCATTTGGATTTTAGGCAGATATATTAATGCCTTAATTAACCATTACAGCTTGCTGCATATTTTTGTCACTAATATTATAATTATATATAAAAACTATGTTAAAATAACAAGGTTGCAACGTCAAGCACTTCAAAGTTAGGCAATGACAGTATGAAGGTTCCTTGGACTACCTGAACTGGGTACCCTTATGCATATCTATTATGATAGGCTTGCTCAGTATTGCATAGGAATTCTGTGGCAGAGCCACCAGTAGAACCCCGTTATTTTGCCTTGCATTCCAGTGTTTTAAATGCAATGGAACATCTTTTCTCTTCTTGGAACCCTCTGCCTCAATCACAGTCCATCCTGTGCACTGAAAGAGGTAACGAGCGAAGTTTATATTGGAATAGGGTCATGCTGGAGGTGGAAAGGATTGGTAGAAGAATAGAATGCTTTGACAGTTTTGGGCTCTAGAGAAGCCCATAGGCATCTGGATAAAGATGCCTTAAGTTAGAACAGCTCCACTTTGATTACTGTAACCTACTCTTCATCAGGCTCCCAGGACCCATATCAGCCCCCTGGAGTCCATACAAAATACATCTGCTAAAACTTTGCCCACCATTCTGACCAGATCAACACTCTCCTTTCCTTGCCTCTTTGATCCGTCCACTGACTTCACCATATTAAGTTCAGACTTCTTGTGATCGTCTTCAATATCCTGCCTAGCTTTGTCAGTTTCAATTTATCCATCCTTTTTTTTTTTTTTTTTTGTTTTTTCTCCCCCCCCCCCCCTTCTTCACTTCACCTCCACTCCATTTGAAACACCAGCTGTGAAGTCCTGTTTGTCCACTTCTTTTACAACAATACTTTCCCCCTGCTACTGTGTATTATTACATTCCTTGAACAGGTCTGCAGAGGAATCCCCTGTCCTCATTTAAATCCCTTCTGAAGGACCACTTCTTCAACACCCACAAGAAGCTAGCTGACCAAGCCATCTATTTACATGTCATTTATTTATAAGTAAATTGCTCATTTATGTAGCGGAAAGATATTGAAGACTAGGAGGGAGGGGCATACAGATACTGGAACACAATTTGTGAGTTAGGGTAAGGGGAAGAAGAGAGGTTTGAATTCTGGAAGCAGATTGGGTGGGAGTGGAGTTCAAAAGCAAACATGTAAGTAAAGAGACTTCTGCCTGCCATCACCTTGATCACTTAACTTGTATTTTGTATTCCTTTCCCCTGCCTCCTCTCTTCATCAATATGTCTTTTCAGACTGTATGTTTTGTGAGGCAGGGACTGTCTTCCTTTGCGTTTGGAAATCACCTAACATACTTTGGTTGTCACTGCAGTCTGAATTCTAGCAAGAGAAGAAACTGATAAAATCAGTATGTTTTGCTTGTCACTTTTTCCTTGTTAGGAAGTTCTTTCTGGAGTGGTGGTCATAACGAGTAAGGATGCAGTCCAACACCAGGGTGTCTCCTTAACGATGGAAGGATCAGTAAATCTGCAGCTCAGTGCCAAAAGCGTTGGTGTGTTTGAAGCTTTCTATAACTCTGTTAAGGTAAGAAATATGTAGGTTGGTTTCTTGGGTACAAAAAGTTATGTCTGGCGTCTAAATCAAATCTCTCCTTAGTAATTCTACTTCTTTATGATTGTGTATTACTTCAGTGTATGCAGGTGGTTTAATATTTTCCCAATCACTGCCATTATCTAGCATAACACCGTGAGCTTCAGATGCAGAAAAATGTGTTAAGACATACCCAGCCTAAGTAACCAGAGTTAAAGAAACGTTGTCAAGATATTTACTGCTGTAATGTGCCATGCTATTTGCATGTAGCTGTAACTGGTGTAAGAAGCATAGTTCTGCAAGGGGAAGATGAGTAAAACTGTTCTAGAACTGAATTCTTATAAATAAAGTGAATGTGAAGGCTCCAAGCAAAGCTGCAACGAGAAGCCTGTTTTTAGTTGTATAAAATATCTCTTCCATATGTGAGCCCTAAGCAGCTTGATAGTTTACTTTTGAGAGGAAAGAAGAAATACTTACTCTGAGGAGAAAGAAAGCTTCCGTCAGTCTATGCTGCTTCATGTGTCAGCAGAGATGAGCCAAAACCCCAGGTTTGAATAGTCCCAAACTTAGGGGATATCCATATTTTCCCCAACAAAGCATTTTCAAGCAACCAGAACAAGAATTTTAATTCCATTTCAGCTTTAGAAGTTTAACTTCAAATGTAAGTTCCTTGATTTAGACAAATGACCTTTGAACAGTAATTTGGGGGCCATCATCTTATCATTGGCATTGGGTATTGTAGCAATTTAAAACAAAAATGGTTTGAAAAGAAAAATGAAAAATCACATAGGGGAAAATAAGATATTTATTTCAATGCTCTATTTGATATTAAATTAATTTCCGTGCTCTGGGAGTGCATGTATTTATTTATTTTATTTTGCTGTTCCTACTCTGTTGTCTTTTAATTGATGGAGGCATATTTTATGAGAATTTGCATGCTTCCCCAGTCAAGTGCCAAACCATAGTTTGCCATTGTTCCAGCAAATATATTCTGATGCTAAATATATAGCTTGCCTTTGGGAGCCCTTCTTCCCTCCAAGAGCTAACCGCTCAACTGGCATATACACATACAGACTCCTTCTGCTGCTGTTAAGGTTTGTGATTTCGATAATGGAACAAGAAATGTGCTGCTTTCAAAAGTATACTAAGTTCTACTTGTTAGCTTCTTAAATGTGCTTAGCCACCAGTCTAACACACATGCAAAAAAACTGTACAGACTGTCTTGGTAAGAAACATTAAGTAAGACCACTTTTTGCCACAGTGTGAGTTTGTAGAGAATTGTTTGTATGGGACACAGACATGTGAATTTTGAGATATTTGGAAAGGCTGATAGGGTTTCATGTGACTCTTTTATTGGGCTGTTATGAAGCAGACTGCTTTATTATAAACTTCTCAACGTTTCTCTTTACAGCCTATTCAAGTTATCAACAGTACCATAGAAATGGTAAAACCAGGAAAACTTCCCAGTGGCAAAACAGAAATTCCTTTTGAGTTTCCATTGCATATGAAGGGCAACAAAGTTCTATACGAGACATATCATGGTGTGTTTGTCAATATTCAGGTGAGACTGTTTTCTGCGTAGGGAAAATGTGATGAACTTGCACTGTCTGCAGGAACTACACTCTGAGAAACTTCTCTAATTGCACTATGAGAGGAAACTATCTGGTGGCAGCATAATTGTATGTTGTCAATATTTTTGGTTTTGTCAATTTTGTACAATTATTGCAATGCTCATGTACAGGTCCCTTAAATTACAGGTCCCTTAAATTAAAATTCATGTTCCAGCTGTGGGGGATTTTTTTTAATTTACCGAAATGCTAGTAGGAAAAGATTATATATTGGTTCAAACATTTCCCAAACATCTGTCATTGTGGTATTTGGGTGCACTTTACATGGCTTAAATTGAGTCAAAAGTTTCACGATTCCGTTCAGCTCACAGCTGTTGAGACAGAACAAAAATTGTCTCATTAGCTAATTCTCCAGGATTTAGTACCTCAGAGACAGAAGACCTGTGTGAAGAGAAACACTTTTTGGATTTCTTTCCAAACATGGCATAACTGCCCTTTTAAGATCTCAAAACTTTATCAGGATATATATATATAGGCTTAAAAATTATACTTGCACTTTAAAAACAAAATAGTTGGGATTGTTTTTTCCTAACTAGGAGTTTTGGCTTGTGTTCCTTGCAACAGGGGATATAAGTATCATCAGATACAGCCTTGGAAATGTAAGAAAGAAGAACAAACAAAGTTTTGGAGGGTTTTTTTTGTTGTTGTTGCTGTTTTTGTTTTTTGCTTGAAATAAGTGTGTCTTAAAAACAAGGAAGGAATCTATACTGTGTTTCACCCTTTCACATCTATATTTAGTGGTGGGTTTTTTTTTTTTAATGTAGGGCCATTTTATAAACTTAGAATCAAGAGAGATTGATTCATTGGAATTTCACCACTCTTCAGTAGGTTCAAATATGAAGTTAAGTATAATGTGACAGTGATATCCTAGCACAGGATATTGTATTGTACCTATTGTGTCTTATTAACCATAAAATGTGTACATCGCCTGAGTTAAAACTTCCTTTTAGTCTCTTCATTTCATGTAGGAGCTGTTACTAGTTTGTAGAATGGGGTCTGAGGCCTTCTCTACTCCCTGCTGGAGGCGTCAGCAATCTGATACTACCTCCATCACTCCCCAGCTGAAGGAAAACCCACTCAAGTCAGGCTACCAACAAGACTTAGTTCCCCAGAAGCCTAGAAGGGCCAGGAGGAGACACTGGCCAATCAGGAGCCAGCAGATCAGTTAAGAAAGCTTTCCTATTCCCTCACAAGGGGAGTGCTGGGTGAGATACTGAGGAGCAACTCCTCTTTCCTCACCCAGAACGCCAGGTCCAGATCAGGGCCGTGACTTAAAGTGACCAAGCGCTTGCCTCATACATTTATTTGTTAGTTTGTTTAAAGGCAGAGACAGCCAAATTCTGAATTTAACTGTTTAAAGACTGATGAGACGCTTATGGCATGGGCTACCCTGCTCTGGAATGGCTACCACATCTTGTGAACTGAGGCAGGAAGAGCTTGCAGTGCCATGCTCAGCCAGCAGGGAATGCAATGGAGCAGCTACACCTGTGGCAGTTTCTTTTGTACATTTATAATATTTTCTAATTCTTATTTTATTACGTGGTAACTTGTAGCTCCCATTTTATGCACCGTCTGTAATGTAAGCACACTTTCTTTGGAGTAGAACAGTTAAGTATCTTTCAGTGAAACTTTGTTAACATGACAAGCTACACAAGTGTTGCCAAAATATTTTTTTAAAAATACCAAAACCGATTGACCCCTCAGATATCTGTTAGAGATAAGTACAAATTCACTCAGGACAGGGCTACACACTGTTTTGGAATCTGATATCCTATGCTCATATGTCATCAACATCCATTCCTGATTTGGTGGCAGCTTGCTACATAAGATGATGCAGTCTCTCTCCTTTCTTTCTCAGGGCCGGGCACAGTTTTTCCTAATTTATTTTTTTTGAAGAGAAGTCTCTTTTGAATCTTGGTAACTTGCAGAAATATCTTTCTGTCCCCTTTTATTTCAGACATTATATCTTATTGAGTAAACCTTACAAGAAGAGGAGGAGAAGAAGGGTGTATGCAGACTCTTACAGGAGGACTTAAAAATCCATCAATTAATTGTAATCTATAATGGCTTTTATAGTATAAGGAGTGGATGAATTACAGTATCTTGAGTATGCAACTACATGAATTTGGTTCATGAATAAGGGTTGCACCTCTGCTACCTTTAGTGCCAAATAAAACTATGGTCCTGCAATATCACAGCTGAGTTTTACACATACAAGCCACAAAATTGAAAACTATGGTCCCTTCGAAACCAAACCTCATTGCTTGTGCATATTTCCTATGACTTTATGTAGCAACAGATTGTCTGCCTAAGTGTGCATACAGTGTGGTAGGTAGTTACCGTGGGAAGTACAGCTTTGCATTTTTTGATTTTTGTGTTAAATGTTTTTACCATAGTGTTGCATTAATATTGGGGGGGGGGGGGGGTTTCTAACTGAAAAAATTTCCTCTGGCTAATGTGATGTAAGGAGATGTTTTGAAAATCTGGTCTTGAACATAAATATTTTTTGTATTAGTGGGAGACTTTCCCTCCCCCTTGAAGTTTTATCTTTATCAAGATAAAGCTCAGAGGAATCCATTAAAACAAATTACCATCAGAGAGATGCTTTGCACTAGAGTACTAGTGAAGAATCACCAAAATCTTCACACCTTCTCTCTCCCGCCCCCCCAGCATTGCTGTGAGTATATAGTACAAAAGAAACTAATAAAAACTATTCCTTTTTATAACTGAACCAAGAGACTTGCACAGAACACTCTTGATGAAAGTGTATTTTATCAACCTCTTAAGCTGTCAAAAGTAACTTCAAAAATATTCAGAGTATAATTATAAAATGCTGCATACACAGAAGGGCTGCATACACAGATAGCATGTCCCAGATAAGACAGGTTTAATTCCAACCTATAAAGTACTGATGAGATGACAGCTAGAATACTGCATTCCATAATGGGCATCTTGGTCCATTAAAAGATGGTTATGATTGTAACAAAAACTAGAGACAAAGGGACTGGCTTTGAGGTCCATTTTTAGGTGGGGGGAGATACCTTAGGCTCTCAATCCTGCAGCTGGATCCATGTGGGCAGAATTCCATTGACTACAAGGAACATCCATACAGGCGTAAGTATCCACCCACATGGACTCACATGCAGCTTGTGGGGTGTAAGTATCAAGGAAGGGGCGGCACTGTTTAGAGTTATCCAAGGAATACAATTTAAGAGTAAAGAGATTTTTAATATCAAGGAATAACTTCCTAACAGTGATGTCTGCTAAAGTGTGAAGTAATCTCCTAAAGGAAGGAAGCACAATTGCTTGAATTATTGAATCACTTAAAACTAGACTGGGAAAAACACTAAAAAATATAGAAAGGGAACAATTCTGCTTTGGCAAGGGAATATTCTAGGAGTGACCAAGTCACATCTCTTTCATCTCTAATTTTTGGCCCAAATCCTGGATTCAGTTAAGTTAATGGGCATATTATCCACTGACTTCAGTGGGGGCAATATCTGGCCTCCTATTTTAAACTTCTTCAGGCATGGCCCATATTTTCTTGAGGGGTGGGAGAAAGTGTTGAGCACTGAGCATGCTTTTGGTACTTAAATTATTTTTCACACCAGACTCTTCTGATGATCCCAGGTGTCTGAAAGGGGAACCTTCCCAGTTCTTTTTCTGACTCTTTTTACGCACATATTGATAAAAGCTGAAAGGTCATTTGACTCCGCAGACTATCCTATCTCTTTTCCATCATGTTATTTCTACTGTTATGATCATGCATATTATCAGGATTTTCCATCATAAGTATAATTGCTGTATCTGTTCATTATGAATCCTGTAGATTCATGCAAATAGCTTCTCATTCACCTGCAGCTGCTTTAAGGTAATATTCTGTTTTTTTGTAATTTGTTTTTCTAACTTTCTGGCAGTGGGATACTAAATCTTTCATTAAGCGTTTTAAATTCAAGAGTTACTTACCAGAAAAACCAGACAAGAGACTTTTATGTCATGAGACAACACCTATTTGTAAAAAGCCTTGGATGGAAATATAAGTGCCAGAATAAAACTCATTCTAGTCTGTCTTGTGCATGCACATGCATATTTTAGATATTTTCCCCTTTTGCAGAGCAAACTTAGTGTGATCTTGTACATCAGACTTTTCAACATAGCCAAGCTGTGATCATCCTTCCATTTTCTGCTTGAAATACCCTATCTGAAGAGCCATCACTTCATTTTCAATGCTAACCTTGCCAAAGGTTCATTTATATTGAGAAAGCAGCCATAAAAGGAGTTTATCCTTTCTCCCAACAATATAGAGACCTCTTTTCTCCCTGTACTTTGCAGAGCTGAGGATCTTATTCTCTTAAATTATTTAATTATTATTTAATTGTCCTGTTACTGATAGGGCTAAAGGAAAATACCTGATATTTTAAAAACCAATTAATGTATTTACAGATTGGCATTATGGATGAGCTATCGGTTTTTCTTTTTAAGAGGAGGAAAATTCCTTTTTCTACAGATTATCTAAATCAGTTCTCTCATATTGAACTTCAGGCTCTGGATTCCCTACATTTACTCTGGGCTTCTTCACAGTAGGTCCCTCTACCCTTCAAAAATAAAACGCATGTGTAATTGTTAGCCATGCCAGTCAACGGCAGATGTTGATGATATTACTTAAACTATGTGCCTTTGCATATGGCTAGTTTGTTTCTAAATTTTATATCCTGTTGACAGCCCTTATGGTGAAAGGCTCCCTTTTCTTAATGTTGATGTTTCCCTTACCTAGTCCTAGCCTTGGCTTTCTTTCTAATGTAACATCTGTTGTCTGCAAAAAATGTGCCAAAACAGTTCCAGCCTACAAGTTGAGTTGCTTTCTGTAATCCAGATATTTTGTTTATAATCAGTACTGATTGTCTAGTAAGGTATGATTTTATTGGTATATATGTTACCTTTGGCCATTCTCCTATCACCTACCCAGTTACCCATCTCCCCACCCCCTCCAGATTAAGACTTAATAAAAAGATCCAGGCCAGGCCTATCATTAGCTTGTCACCAGGCTTTCAGTCTCATTGTTTCCTGCTCTGCTGTATCACCCCACAAATAAAATGAAATCTGACTTCCAAGAACAGTTTGTATAGAACACACTAATATCTGTTAAAATGGATGCGCAGAGGAGATTTGATCCAATGTCTAGGTTTTAGGTAAGAAGCTATGTGCTGCTTAAAAGTATTTCAGTGCTTTAAAAAAAAAAATCAAATGAAAACAGTTTATAAACAAACCAGAAAGTGGTTAACATGTTTTTATTGTCCAAATTGCGAGGTAAAGTAAACATAAATTGTGAACAGTATCTAACTTTTTTAATTCTCATTTAGAATAATCAAAGATTTCATTAGTAGAAACATCCATCAAAGATTTTTTTTTTTTTTTTTAAATTTCATACAACTCCAACAGATGACCTGAGTTGTTGTTCCAGTGGTTAGGGATTTGAGAGATGAGGGTTCAATTCTCTGCTCTGCTACAGACTTCTTATGTGACCTTGGCACTTAGAATCTCTGTGCCTTAGTTCCCCACCTGGAAAATGCTACTTTCCTATCTCACAGGAGTGTTGTGAGGATAAAAAAATACACTAAAGATGATGAGGTGCTTGATTGTACTGGGCTCATACAGGTACCTTAGATCGGTGATTCTCAACTGGTGGATTTCATCCCCCAAGTAGGTCAGGAAAGGGAATGGAGGGGGGCACTTTTTTAACAAAAAGTGTTAAATTTTTATTACAATCCAAAGAAAATCTGCACCCTGCACACCCTTACTGGTCAAGTATTATGTCAGCCTCTCAAAATGCACACAGATTATATAGACTTTGTATTGTTACCAGTGGTACTTTTCTTACATTTAAAGTACATGTAAGAGTTATGAAAATTTTTGGTTTTGAATGAGTTGCTAACTTGCAAAGGGTGAGAAACAATGCTTTAAGTAGATATGTGCTAACTGGAACTTTGTAATGTTCCTATAGAACCCTGGACATAACATCTGTTGATTAGTATTAGTACTACAGTCTTTTAGGCAGTTTCCTCATTAATATAGCAGACAGGTTTTGGTGCATATTCTTCTAATAATGATTGGACTAAACAAATATGTAAAGACTATTCTTCAGCTGGGAGTAGCTACCATTACTCTGTATTCATTTTTCTTTTACTAGTAGAGTAAACAAAATCGATTTGTAAATTGTGCTGGGTAGGGAACATATCTTTCTATTATGTGATTAGCATTGAGAGCAATCAGGCCTGGTCCTGAGTGAGGTCTCTGAGCATTATTGCTGTACAGATACTCAATTATTACACTTTAAGGTTCAGTTTATAAAGAACTGATAAATGATTAATAGATGTTATAGGGTTGTTAGATACATGAGTACTACATGATATAGATGGTTATAAGCAACCTGTTGGACTCTACAGCATCTATAACCACTGATTAACAATTTATTAAAGAATATATAAGGTGCCTACTGACTTTTAATAAACGACTTATAAATGGAATGTTAATATAAATAGACGGTGACACTTTGTGTTTCTAGAATGATTTCTCTCTAAGTCCATGCTAGAGATGGAAGAAAGCTTTGATAAGACTCTTTTATCCCCCAATCTTTCTCACAGTATACCCTTCGGTGTGATATGCGACGTTCTCTACTGGCCAAGGACCTGACTAAGACTTGTGAATTCATTGTCCACTCACCAGTAAGTTGGAATATAGAGATTTTCATCTCTGCAGTTTTGTTCTGTTTAGCAACGTTTGGTGCCCAGTCTTGTATGGTGATGTTCACAAGATGTAATGCTGTAACTTGTATGTAATGCTGTAACTCCTATATTAACAAGGCATAAGACCTAAGGTGGCGGTGGGGGGGAGAGGGAAGGTTGGTGTCATGCTTTCTTTTGTGTTTTGAAGTTAGCAGTATTCAGGCTTCAAGCATTTCTGTTACTACACCTCTACCTCAATATAATGCTGTCCTCTGGAGCCAAAAAAAATCTTACTGTGTTACAGGTGAAACCGCATTATATCGAACTTGCTTTGATTCACCGGAGTGCGCAGCGCCCCTCCCCTCCCCCCGAGCACTGCTTTACCGTGTTATATCCGAATTCGTGTTATATCGGGTCACGTTATATAGGAGTAGAGGTGTATTTGTATTACTGTGGCACCTAGCAGCCGAGACATGAACTAGGACCTCATTGTGCTATAATTTACATAACCTTTCCACCTTAACTTATTTTAAAGGTGCTCTTTTAACTGACACAAATATGTTTGAGATGATGAGCTTGCTATGTTGTGAAAACCTCCTGTTTTCCCCCTGAGTCCTCCCCTTCCCATTCCCTGCTTGTTCCCTTCATGTCCTAGATACATACTGGTCTACTCAGTATCTAGATACTATGGTGATGTGTGCTCCCATAAGTATCTTTTGGATGGCCTGATCTCTCTCTCTCTCTCCTCCCCCTCCCCCAGGTGCTAAGCTTCCAGAGCTCCCATTGGAGATTGAGAGCTTTGGGTGCTCAGCATCTATGGAGGGAAGATATCAAGCCTCTTGTATTCAAATGCGTAAATTATTGATTTAGGTCCCTTACTCTAGGTGTGGAAATAGGACTGCATCTAGTTGGAGACAAGTTTACAGCCTCTTAGAGTATGTCTACACTGCAATTAGACACCTGTGGCTGGTTTGTGTCAGCTGACTTGGGCTTGGGGTAAGGCGCCATTTAATTGCAGTGTAGACACTTGGGCTGGAGCCCGAACTCTGGGGGGGGGTCTCAGAGCCGAATGTCTACACCTCAATTAAACAGCCTCTTAGCCCACATTCCACAAGCTTGAGTCAGCTGACTCCGGCCAGCCGTGGATTTTTAATTGCAATGTAGACATACCTATAGGGACTACATAAGGCTGGTGTCCTAAACAAGTTGTTCTCATCAAGTTGTTCATAGATAGTGGTGGGCTCAGAAATGACTATTGTAATTAATGCCTTGATTCTGCAATTAGTTCTATGCAAGTGGACCCTTGCACCTGTGTGGAATTTATTGCAGAATCAAGGCCATGTTTTTAGCTGTATGGCATGAACTGCTTTTGCTTTTCATCATGAACATGTTCAGTAAAATGGGTGCAACTGTGATTTGTATTGATTATAGATGTGTGCAGAGCACATGTATAAGCAATATAATCTGCGCAAACTTAACAAGCAAAATACATTTGCTTCCACCCAAAACTTGCTAGAACACACATGATGCTTAGCTCCTGTAAGGAGCTCTTTAAGAAGAGTGCTAATATACTTAACGATGTTTTGTTCTCCTCGTCATCAGTGATGAAAATTAATACAGTAGAACTTCAATAACGTGCACAAAAATTGCTCATGTCAGCAAAGATTTAATAGCAAGACACTGCAGAGATCTTGTTCCTACATTTTGTAAAATGAAAAATCGTACTATGCTACATTAACTAGTATATTATGAAGTATTATAAATAACACAGTTATCAAAATAATGAGCAGCTTACATATTACGCAGTATTCTTGCTTTATTTCTTTTTCAGAAATAGCACTCATTAGTTCACAAAATTCAGTAATTCACCATGAGTCTCCCAGTCAGTGTGAATTAATGAGGTTCTACTGTACATATAATTCTCACTGTCAGTACACAATATTATTTCCCTTAACCTTCTTTCCTTTGCAGAATTTGTCAACTGTATTTTCCCATAACTGAGAATATGTGTTTGTTTATGGCTGGCAGTTTCCCAGTTTTGCAGTTGTACACAAGAAACTACTATGGACACAAAGTAATGGAGAGTAAAACAACTGCAAAGTTCAAGTTGGGTCTTCTGAGGATGATAAAGCACTGCACCAACTTTCAACAGTGCACAGCTGGGACCCTCATCACTGATTGGCACACAAAAAATCCTTACACTTATTTTAAATGGAAGCTTTGCTGAAATGTGAATGGAGCTGAACAAAGATAAGGCACCTCGTTGGGATGAGGGTGAAGAGAGGCAGTTAACTGAAGATTAAAATGACAATTATGTTGTCCTTTCTGGGCGAAGTGCCAGACTGCCATTTCAGCAGCAGTTCAGGGCCTTTTAAGTCGCTTTAAACTTACTTTCTACCATAAAAGCTAAACTAAGAGGTTTTTAAATATTCCAAATATAGATTTAAAAAAAAAAAAAAATAACATAGGTCCTCAGCTGGCAAAATCAGTGGAACAACACTGGATTACACCAGCTGAGTATCTGGCCCAGTAAGTTGAAAACAGCTACTGGGCCATAACCTGCGTCTGAAAGAGCTCTCGCTGGGTGGTGGTAGGGAGTTCAAATAGTGCAGGGAGGGCACTTCAGATAGAGAGGGTTAGAAAAACAATCAATATGTTCAGGATAATAGAGAAAGTGCATATATAACTTTTCCTACTATTTTCTCAAATCTGCTTACTAGGAGGGCTGAGTGCTACTGGAAGGACACATTGAATCAAACCTCACAAAACCTTAATAATAATAATAAAAAAAAAAAAAAGCCAACACTGATATGTAAAATCAAGAGCCCTACTTTAACAGCATGGCAAGGTGTGCATTAGTAGGCTATTGGTTTAGAGCACTTAACCTTGTGACTCGCAACACAACATGCCCAGGGCAGGCACCAGTAGCCTAGTAATGCACGTCCTGTCATGTAATTCACCATGAATAATTCGTCATGCATCCGACGAAGTGGGCATTCACCCACGAAAGCTTATGCTCCAATACATCTGTTCGTCTTAAAGGTGCCACAGGACTCTCTGTTGCTTTTTACAGATCCAGACTAACACGGCTACCCCTCTGATACTTGACATCCTGTCGTGGTTTATTGCAGTAATAGCAAGGATAGTTCTGGATATCCAGGAATTAGAATGTCAAAATGTGGTTATTTTGTAACACCTGGTGACTTGTATTTGGTCCAAGTCATGATCATGTCCTGTTTTCTTGCAACATCTAATAGACTTTACATGAAATGGGTCAATTTCTTATTAAAAGAATTACACCTAGTTCTCTAAAGACTAGTTCAAAGTTAGACATTGTAAAGTGATTAGGTCAGCTCCTAAACCGGTCTTGCAAGTAATGGCACAAGAAAAGGGATTCTTTTCATGATTTGATGTGTGTACATTATCATGTAAACTCTATATACTGAGTATCCAATATCAATACTACCTTTTCATTACATTACAGCCTCAGAAAGGGAAGTTGATGCCAAGCCCAGTGGACTTCACAATTACACCTGAAACCTTACAGAATGTTAAAGAGGTAAACATTTTGTTTTTAAAAAATGCCTTAAGTGGTGTTGAGTGACTCTCTTGTCTCTAGTGTGAACTGGTGTGAGGAGTGAGATAAGTGGCTACTGTTAGATTCTGCTCCACAGCTAGTCATAGTTCTTCCTCTCCTCTTTTGCCAGTTTTGATTCCTGACATGCTAAGCAACAGTTTAATGGACAGCCGTGCTACTTGTTCTTTTGTGTTGATGCTGTGTTGTTAGGAGTTTTCCTCAGTAATGGCTACACGTTATTTTTTTTTTATATTTTCCTTACTGGGAACCAACCAAGTCAGTGGAATATGGCAGCCAAGAGCTCCCACTGACTTCAGATGAGGCTGTGAGTACTCAGCACTTCTGTAAATCAGACCCCAGCATCTCAAGCTGGGCATCGGAAAATGAGGAACACACAATTAATCCCTTTTGGCTTAAATGACTTGCCCAGTAGCTATATGGTGACAGAGGCAGGGATAGTAATCAGTTCTCAGGGCAGCATTCAACTGCCTTAGCACTGAGACCCTCCTTTCTCTCCCCGCAATCCCCTGCCTCATTCACTAAACACCTTCCAACTGCCACAAAAAAATAAAGCAGGGGTCCTACAGGCAACAGCCTCCTTCACTCAAGATCCTGATTGATCCCCAATCCACAGTCCATCCTGTGCAGGGACCTAGTAGGGGAAAAAAGGGTTACCATGTAATTAGAGACTGTATCACAATGCATGCGCTCAAGGGTGCTCCATTAACATTGCACAGGCAAGTTTGATCCCGGCATTTTCTAACTTTTGAGGGGCCTGACTTTGCAACCTTAATAATGTTCTTTTAATGTAGGGTTTTTATGTACTTCAGTAATTCTTATGCTGCTTCTTTCCACAAAGGGTGGTTTTGCCTACTTAGCATTCGCTGTGCTCTTTATGATTAGTCATGTGACTTTTTTTTCCCACCCTACATTTAGAGAGCCTCGCTCCCAAAATTTTTCATCAAAGGTCATCTCAACTCGACTAACTGCATCATTACACAACCACTAACAGGGGAGTTGATGGTGGAGAATGCAGAAGCTGCAGTCAAAAGTATTGAGCTGCAGTTAGTACGTGTGGAAACTTGTGGTAGGTTGTTTCATGTAAATTAAAATCTGAATATACCACACGGGTTATCTGAATATTTATATTCTAAATAGACATAGCATACTTGTCTAAAGCAGTAGTAGAAATCATTTGCAAAAGTTACTTTTTTGTATATCAAAAGTATCACTTTATAGGGTGTTCAGATGTAATTTTTAAACAGTCATAAAGTCAAAGCTCTAATGGGTAAAAGGGAGGGTGTTTGTTTTTTGGCTAATGCCTCCAGCCTTTGAATTATGTTCGGTAACTTTCTAGTAGAATTAGTGCTACTTTTTTTCCCTTCACCCTAATACTTGTTTTCTCCAGGTTGTGCTGAAGGTTATGCTAGAGATGCTACAGAGATTCAGAATATTCAGATTGCTGATGGGGATGTCTGCAGAAGCTTGTCTATTCCAATATACATGATATTTCCCAGGCTGTTCACCTGCCCTACACTGGAAACTACAAATTTCAAAGTTGGTACGGACCCAGATATTTTTGAAATATTGGTACCTTCAGAATCCATGTGAAACAAGCTGCTAGTTTCAGTTCAGTTTCTAGTGGGCAAGGGGCCACAATACAAACTACCACCACTGGCACTAATGAGCAGCTTTGCAAGGGAGGCCAAGGAGACCTTCTTACCAACAGAGGTGGTTCCATACCAGGGTTGAAGTATATTACCAGAGTAATGTGGGGAAATCAGCACTACCATTCTTTGAACAGTACCTGTTGTGGATAAAGAGGACTCAGGCTCCAGGTCTGTCAGTCCACTAGCTTTAGGGAATACTAAATATACCAAGAAATTTGTCTCATTAAAAACCTCTATACCATGCCTTTAGCTATAACCTTCTCCATTCAAACTAAGTTCTCTGTCTAGTATATTCTGTCTTCTTACTCTTAGTGGTTTCGTAAGTGGTCTAAACTAGAACTAAACTAGTTCTGACCAGGAAAATTATCTGGGAGAATCAGTTTTAATGGCAAAGATCTGTTTCCGGTAGGGATTAAATATGCTGAACACCTACAGCTCTCAAGAGCAGCAGGAAATTCTGAGGGTAAAATGCTGAAAAGCGATGCTTTCCTTCTATTATCCCTTTCTGTCATCACTGACACACCCGCCATTCTCCCAGTCACTCAGGCCTGGAAGTTGGAGGTTGTCTGTGACTCCATCTATTGACTCACAGCCAGGCCATATCCAAATCTGTCGACGACTTCTTCCATAGTGTTGCCAAGATTGTTTCTTCATCAATGCACACCACAAAAACTCTTGTCTAGGCCCTTTTCTCCCCTCCTGAATATTACAGTTGCCTCCCTCCTTCCTAACAACCTCATCAAACTTTCCACTTAAGGACATTCAAAATGTTTCTGCTAAAATCATCTTCATAATCCATAGTTCTAACTAAGTTTCCTTCTTCTGAATCTATCCCCTATATCGCTTCTCCTTTTCCACTACATAAAGCTTTTTGTGCTTGCGTTTAGGACCCTCCACAACTTAGCTCCTTCCTAATTTTGTATCTTAGTATCATCCCCAACTACATCTCCTCTGCTTCACCAACTTTGATCATCCATTTTTGTGCTTTTGTATGTGCTCTTTTATATGTGCAATGCCCTCCAATGGATTTGTTTGGAGAACCACTACCCTAAACTCCTTCAAATTACTCTTCAAGATCTACTTCTTACTATGATGCCAACAGTAAATTACTAGCTAATAATGGCTAGACAGGTGGCTACCACTAATGCAGTTAGTCAAATCTTTTATGGAGCTATGTATATGTTGACACATAGGCTGGAGAAATTGGTCATTTTTTTTAGTGTCCTGTTGTTTTCTACAGTGTTGAATCATCTAGCACAGATAATCCTAGAACACTAAAAACAGCTTGAAAGTTTTATCTAAGGTGAAGGAAGCTGAGAGCAGGAGCCCCAGAATTATCATGGTTTCTACTGTACAATTTGAGTTAATACCAGAGGTCTCTTTTTTTCCCCTAGAGTTTGAAGTTAACATTGTTGTCCTCCTGCATGATGATCACCTCATCACAGAAAATTTCCCACTGAAGCTCTGCAGGGTGTGAATATCCAGGAGAACTGCTAATGGAGGAACAAAGAAATTCTTCAGTTACCAAATGGAAATTCAGTTCATATCTTCAAACTTATTTTAATTGAAGGACTAAAACATTTGCTCATCCCACTATTGATTTCTGTGTTGGAAGGGAGTGCAGTTCTCTGTAACTCTTACCAAACACTTTCACTAATAATATCAGAAGATAGACAATGTGCTTTTCTGCTGAGATTCCTGCCAGGTATCTCTTTGAATTCAACAGCCATGCCTCCCTTTCTCTATTTTTTTTCTTAAGAACCCTTAAGGGATGTTTTTTGCACATTCCTGTCGTGCACAACACACAGTAAGTTTCTATGATTAATTGATAATTTAACACTTGTGCTAACTCTTTAAATGTTTCCTTTATAAGGATCCTTGTATCTAAACAGCTAACGGGCCCTGCTATGTATTGGTCCTTGAAGGAGAGACTGAGAGATTAGATGTTTCCTAAGCCACCTCATCATATGGATGCTGGGAGACCTAATGTTCAGGAAATGTTTTGAGACCATTGAATGGTGCTACAGAATTGCAACACAGTTATTGGAGCAGCATCACACAAAGAATATGAAGTGAAAGGAAACTAAGTATGTTTCAGTTAGATTGGGAAATGAATCCATTAATCAGGGGAACAACCTCAGAGTTAAAGCTTTTTATTGTAACAAAGTTGATACAACTATCACACTCTAGTTAGCTTGGTCAGTTACTTGCATAAGTTCTACTGCAGTGAGAGGACCAAACTGTCAAAAGAGGTTCTAGCTTGCAGTTGTGCCAGACCTCTTGCTCTTGATTAGCCAGTCCATGTTAATTTCTTTTCGCCCCTACTACTGAGTTCTTTACCTACAATCTAGTTGTGGTGCGAAAATGTGGGTCCTTACTTTGCTCTTGTGGCATCATATGAAAGCTGCTGTCAGTATGCTTGGCTGCTACATTGTAGACTAGCTCTTTCCCGTGCCGGACTTTATTGCAAGGTAGAATACTTTATTAAAGACTGCATAAACATATTTATGTTTTGGCCACCCCAATTAACCTTTTGCCTGCAATATGGTATTATGTGCAGGGCCGGCTCCAGGCACCAGCTTAACAAGCAGGTGCTTGGGGCGGCCAAGGGAGAGGGGCGGCACCTGCGGCAATTCGGGGGCAGCAGGTCCCTCACTCCCTCTAGGAGCGAAGGACCTGCCACTGAACTGCCGCCACCGATCGCGGCTTTTTTTTTTTTTTTTGCTTGGGGCGGCAGAAATGCTGGAGCCAGCCCTGATTATGTGGGTAATTATCTGAGCCGGTTACTAGCTGCTTCCCCTTTCATTGGAAGGTTTAGTTGACATTTGCTGAACATGTCAAGATGTAACTATGGTAGGGGGCATGGGGAAGGGGAAATGTGCCAGGCAGAAATGAAATTTAAAAAAAAAAAAAAAATTTTACTATTTGCTGATAAAAGCCTTCCATTGCACTGTTTTGTTTTGTTTTGAAGTTAGCACATCTTTATTGGGTAGACATGCTTAAACTGCCACAGCAGGAACTAAACCAGGAGACTCTTGTTTTGGGGAGGTGGTGTAGGGTGGAAGAATTGTGTTTTTGATAATGTAAGAAAAAGTATGTATAAAGGCAAAGTGTGCTTTTTCTGAATGTACATTTGCAAATGAAACCATCTGGGGAGGGGGAAGGAGGAAGAGGCACTGCAAAACAAAATGAGCAGATGCCTAAAACGTTAACTCAATCTTGAAGTAAAGACACTTGACAAAACATCTGATTCTGGCTTTACCCCTCCCTTCATCCAACAGAAAAATACAAAGTTTTCCAGCTGGCTATTTGGGCCTCTGGTGTGGCTAACAGCAATATCCTTGTTCAGCAATTTCCATATTTTAAGGAATAAAAACCTGAAGTTCTAAAAATCTAGTTTAACAATTTGCAGTATCAGCACAACATGTTGGCATTAAATAATTACAAAATCCTCTCCTCAGCCACTGCAAAAATAATGTTTGCATGTGATCTGGAAATATTATCACAGGATCATTTGGGGGAAAATGAAGTCTGTGACTTTCAAACAGGCACGATGATACTAGACTGCCAGCTATTGGCCAATACCAAAATAGCTATGTGAATTTACAGATGTTTAGGGGTCTTTTGTAAGCATGTAATGAACATCTAATGGAAACAATGTATAAATAACACTGCTGTGAATCCTGCATTTAGTTTAGGGAGTACTAGCATTGTATCCGTGCATTGTCACAGCAGGAACAGTTGACCTACACCCTCCAGTACAGGACTACGCCAACCTAGATCATCCCACTGAAGTTCTTGTTCACATGTGACACCTACTGGGGTGTGTGAGACAAACTATGAAGATTATTCTGGATCTGCTGGAGAGGAGGGCACGTTAAAGCTCCCAGCTAATCTTGCTACATGGATGATACCCTTTCAGCTAGTAATATCAATGTAATGGAAGGAACACTATTTATTTTCCTTAGGGAATAGAGAGCACATGAGTCCTTCCCTTCCATTTACTAAGCCATTTGGCTGAAAAGATGCAGGGTGAGGGAAAAAGATTGTCCTCCAAAAACTAAGCTATGGTTAGCAGGAAGTCATGTATATAACCTTCCTTGTGTTTCACTGTACATCTGTTTCTTTATTGTTCAGGTATGAAGGACTCTAGCTTGGTTCTTTGAACACAGTGGTCCAGTTATTTTGTACTGTTTACAGCATAAACAATACATTTTTTGCCCTCATCTTGAGAGTGGGGAGATAGTAATTAGTGAGCCCCAGAACCTTAAAAAAAAAAAAAAAAAACTGGTAATTTAAGACATTGTTTTTCTGCTCTGCAGAATTAGGGATTGGTGGAAGCCCAAAGACTCATCTGTACTCTATTTACATTTTTCATAGTCTCTTTTCACCACCACCGAGAGGTTTGGGGCTTTTTGACAAACTAATCTTTACCATGAATTGAAGTTGATGACTCTGCTCATCTATACTCAGATGTTAGCAGAGCTGGTCAAATTCCAAGGCACAACTTAAAATGTGACCTGCTATAGCAGGGGTCGGCAACCTTTCAGAAGTGGTGGGCCGAGTTTTCATTTATTCACTCTAAGGTTTCGTGTGCGGGTAATACATTAACATTTTAGAAGGTCTCTTTCTATAAGTCTATAATATGTAACTAAACTATTGTTTTATGTAAAATAAATAAGATTTTTAAAATGTTTAAGAAGCCAGGACCCGAGCAGTGTGAGTGCCACTGAAAATCAGATAGGTTGCCTACCCCTGTGCCATAGAGTGACAGTTTCTTTACTTCTAGCAGCATTAAAACTGGAAAGTAAGAAGCATCCAGAAAAGGCTGTGACTTCTTGACTTTTTCCTCAGCCCTCAATCTTCTATTAATTCAAAGCCCTTCAGCAGTATCCCATAGGTCAAATTTGAAAGACCCCAAAACTGTCTGATCTCACTGAAACAACTATGATCTAGTGCTTAAGGCACAACCATTAATCCTGAATAGCTTTAAACAAATCTCTTTATTTCACACCATTAGGGGAATATCATTAAATCACAATCTAACTAGTTTTATTATCCTTTTCTAAATTTTGTTGAACATAATCAGTTTTCTAGACTATGGCCCTTCATATTAGTTCATGACCATTAAGTCTGCGTCCATGGAGTTTTTTCCTGCTCATTTCAGGAGTGGTAGCTATTGCTTGCAGTGAACTAATTTTTTGTTCATATAACCTATCTGCAGGGCCGGCACCAGGCAACCAAGCACATGCCTGGGGCGGCGGGGGGAGCGCGGCACGGCATTCCGCGGGGGGGGCGCGCTCTGGCGGTGTGGCGCTTTGCGGGGGGGCGGCGTGGGGCACGGCGGTCGGGGGGGGGGGCGGGGGGCGGCGCTTTTTTTTGCTGCTTGGGGCAGCAAAAAAGTTAGAGCCGGCCTTGCCTATCTGAATTCTGAAGCAGTTTGGACTTTTAAAGTGAGCTACTGGTGGTAATCATTCAAACTTCCCCTTTAAAGCTGGAAATTATATGTGAAGTAGCGTTTTCCCTTTCAAGTCTGTGGACTGGTCTAGATCTGCATAGCTACATCTCTTGAGGGTGTGAAAAAAAACACACCCCTGAGTGATGTATTTAAGCTGACTTACCTGCAGGTGTAGACAGCATTAGGTCGATGGAAGAGTTCTCCCATCAGCCTACTACTGCCTCTCTGGGAGGTGGATTTCCTACACTGACAGCAGAACGCTTCCTGTCAGCATAGGGAGCATCTTCAGTGAAGTGCTATAGTAGTGCAGCTGCACCGCTGAAGTGTTTCAAGTGTAGGCAAGCCCTCAGGTAGGGGGATTACCTAGGCTGCCAGGAAACCCCTGCCTGTCAGCATAGGTAGTGTCTGAAGAGCTACACTGAAGAGCTACTGCGGGGCAGGTGCACTGCTGTAACATTTTAAGGATAGATGAGCCCTGTGTAGCTAGGTCTGTCACACTTTTCTAAGAGCAAGGAAATCTCTAACGGTACTAGTTAGAAAGCTCATACTTAAAACTAAAGAGGGTGGGATCTCTAATCAGCAATCCACCCTCAAAAATACTTCAGACTGTAGCAAGGGAGAGGGGCCATAGTAAATGTTTAGTGCATGTGAACACCCAGCTAGCTCTTTGATGCTCGTTTTGAAGTTTCCAAATAGAAGACAGTCCTATCTAGCTGACTTCTTCAAGTAAGCGAGATTCAGGACCTAGCATTGAGCAGTTTTCAAAGTTTTTTGTTTTTTTAGTTCTGGACTACACTGCTAGAATACACTTCTGCACCAAGAGGTGAAGTCTGCTGCAGCAGAACTGCAGAATGCATGGAGTCCTTGCTGTAGTGAAGTCTTAGATACTATTGTGACAAGTGCTTTTTAAAAATGTGTATGAATGAATGCACTTGCCTTAGTCACTGAAGGACGGCACTGCTGGCCATGCCCAAATGCAAAACCAGTAGCTCACAGATTCATATCAGCTAACACTGTGGGGGAAACATAGCC